TTTGCCATCGCAGATTATGAGAAAATGACTGTCATGCTTATACCTTACCTTGTATGGTAAGGTAGCGCAATGGAAACATATAGTATAATCGCAATCCATGCAACTTAATTCCGAATGATGTTCAATAACTTCTCTGCCGAATTGAAATTCCGAATGATGTTTAATAACTTCTTTGCAGATTTGACATCGGGTCTTTTCCTTTAGGTCCCAAGGTAGGAATAAGGGATGTTTGTGGCCTTGGAATTCAAATGGTTCGATAATCGAGGCGCACCTTAAGTCTAGTAGTATGGAAGTACGCACTGGTTCTTTTGAATGATGATAATAATAAAAGCCACCAACGTCACGCTTACATGCACTACATTTGGTTTTACCTTCCTTACCAGCAGATGCCATATTGTCAAGTGTAAGTGGATATGGATGTAAGGGATGTCGTTTCATGCGTGGAGCATTGGCACAACTTTCATGGAGTATGAACTTGCATTCCATGCATGAATAGAACTGACCTTCGTAGATTGGAAGCGCACACCCTCGACAATACTTGTTTTCGTCATAAGCCATGAAGATCTCAAGTCGTAGATGGTGACTATGAAATGGATGGAGTATTATTCCATCAGTTATCCTCTCGAATGGCTCACCATCATCTATCCAATCATCCTCTTCTGGTACTCCATCGAGATCTTTTCCATCCCAAACATTTTTATGTAACGCACATTTTGAATGAACAAAATAAGCATCACATTTGTTGCAAGAGTATGCACCATAATTGTTGTCAACTTGTTGTCGACAGACTCCGCAGGAAATTTTTCCAGATGGAAGAGAAGAGGTAAAAGAGATACGGTGTTGGTGGCGAGATATTCTGATGACATGCGGGAACCCCATACAATCTGTATGGATCGCAAAGACACATTGGATACAGATATATGTGGGATCAAGCTTCTTAATCAGTGCACAGAAATGGCAAACTAAAGAAGCTTGTGCAGGGTAAAAAGTGAGAGGATGGGGATGGCTTTTTGGGTGGTTTACAACACAAGGTATTGACCTCATCGCACATACAGGATGCATGCTCAAGTTGCATGTAGTACAATGATAAAATATGTGGGAGCAAGATTCCTCACAACAAATGCACTTTACACCACCAAATGTGTAACTACTGCAAAGTCGAAGA